CCCTTTCGTTCAGCAGGAGATGGCCTTCTCCCGTGGGCCCGACACGTGAAGGCAGCGAAGGCGAAACCCTTCAGACGGCCTGGCAAGGGGGCCGGGGGGTGAGGGGGAAAGAGGGGGGGGCCGGGGGTGAGGGGGGGAAGGATCTGGTGGGTGAGCAGCAGCCCGGGGCCGGCTATAAGACACACGCAACTAAATAAAGTGTACCAGCGCGCACCAGGTCTCGAAACCCCTCCCCTTCCCCCCGCCACCACCACCAAAACACCGTAACACCCTCTTCCCCCCCTCCCCCCTCCCCCCTCCCCCCTCCCCCCCCTCACCATCCGGACCCCTGGGCAACCTGAGCTCCCAAACGAAGCCCGCGGGTGTCAGCGCCTCCAGCAGAGCCGCCTCAGTCGCCTGGACCCCGTTGACGAACACACATACAGAGATACATACGGACATGCACACACGCACACACATATGTTCACGCATCCGTAGCGGGGGGAGGAGCAGCCGCACCACCACCACCAAAAGGAGAGTACATCGTAGAAGCCGTACACTAAATCAGCCTATCAGCCTAGCGTGGAGAGAACCATGGATTGGGTTATTTTTAATGTGGTGGTCGTACTTTGGAACCTGTCCAGAATTTAAATGCCCTCTTGCAGGTGCGACAGCCCTCTGGGACCTCCTCTGAGCCCCCTCCCTGACCTGGGGGGGTCACCAACCCCCCGCTTACCTCCCCCCCCCGCCCCCTACCTTACCTTACCTTACCCGCCCTTTCTCCCCTCACTAACTCCCCCCTCCCACCTCCCCCTGACACCACAACCCGCAAAACACACACAGAACACGACCGACCTTGAAGGGCAGGTTCCTTACGATGACTCTCCACTGCTTCACGTGAGCCCCCTCGCCCTTCACCCCGCGGGCCCAGAGTGTGGTGAGGCGCTGCTGCTGCTGCTGTTGTTGTTGGTCTCCACCGTCGCCGTCCCCGTCCTCCTCGACCTGCTGCTGCTGCCCCTTGCGGCCCTTCTGCGACCCTTTTTTCCCTCCGCCTCCGCCTCCGCCGCCACCAGCCCCGTTCCGTAGCTCCAGGGTTTTGTTGTGAAGCTGAGTGACCGCATGCATGGCGTCCTTTACCTGCGTACGGAAGAAATTACAGTATGTACGGAACGTACGGGGGAATGTATACGAAAAAGGAAACGAAAAATGTAACATTGAGGGAGAAGAGAAAAAATAAATTCCTATATAGTTATAGGGTTCTTCGCTGTGTGTGCGTGTGTACGTGAGAGATGGAGAGAGAGAGAGAGAGAGAGAGAGAGAGAGAGAGAGAGAAAATTTAGAGTTATGGAGAAGGCCGTGCCGATCTGCGGAGGGAGAGCTCTCTGCAAATCGGCTCGGCGTGCAGAACCCCAACTCCCAGGAGGACACAATGGTGCTTTGTGCCTGTGTCTTAAAACACACCGTAGGCCGCAGCCCCTCCCCCCACACCGTGTGCCCTACTGTTCACTCACTCATTGGCACAGTGTGAAATTAGATGTGCTTGGAAAACTCAATAGGCATACATACATACATACATACATGTAAAGATACAAACACATTAGTGCGAACTATATGATATTGCGCACACTACGCAAAGAAGCTCTCTTGTTGTGCGCCTGATGGCTTGACGGAGGGGAGACGTGAGAGATGTCAACCCTTACAAAACACATACACACACGTGCACGCAGAAAACTGTAGTACTCCCTCTCCCCCTCTTTTTCCCCTCCCTCTCTCTCCCCTACCACCCCCCTCCCTTCCCCTTTTTTTCTCTCTCTCCCCCCTTCCGCCATTTTTTTCGTGACCTGCCCTCCTCGCCCCAAGTAACGCTCACCGTCTTATACACGACAATGACGACACTGCCGCTACAGCCATCACCCTCCAGCTTCGCTTGCTGTACGATGTCCTGCAAACCGCATCGTGCCGCCGTACAGCAGGCACAAACCATAAAAATGGGAAGCGGCCAGAAAAAGGGGAACGCAATCGCGGGATGCCAGTATAGCAGGAGAAACCGTCAACTGCCTTCATCAGCTAGCGCCAGAGCGTAAGGGAGGGCGGTAAACCGCTCATGTCAGAGGACAGACATACATGGTGACCCGGGGGCCCCGGGGGTAGAAAAGGAAAATGAACCACTGACGAGTGAAGCTGATGCCAGGGAAAAGGCTGATAGGTGGGAAGGGGGAAAAGGAAGAGCTGAAGGGACAAAAGGGCGCGTGGGAAATAACCCCTCAGGACACTCGCAAATAGGAACCATGGGATCAACCAACTGCAAACGGGTGTCCAACAACTCATTACCCCGAGGGGAAAACCGCCGGTAGGTAGGGGCCTAGGGGCCTAGGGTTTTAGGGTTTCGTCTCCATGTGGTTTGCCGCACCGCGGGCGCTGGGTTCATAACAGACTCCACGGGCGCCACCCGTCGAGCTAGCGCTATGGCCTGAGGTATGGACTGCGGCGTCAAGTTGCCCACAGCAACCGCCCGTAGAAATTTGTGCTTTTCAGCCGCTGACGCGGCGGTAGCGGCGGCGGCAGCGGCGCCGTCAGCGCGCTGCCGCTTCCGGGGCGGCTGCGTCGCCGCTGCGGTTACCGGCACCGCGCCGCCGTCGGGCTGCCCGACGTCCGCCGCCGCTGACGCCGGGTCCTTGCCTCTGGGTTTCTTTTCAGCGGTAGAGGCTTCAGCAGCGGGATATGTCGCGCCAGGAAGTGCCGGATGAGGCGCTGAGCCGCCGGCGGCGGCACCGGGGGCGACATTTCCCCCATCGTCGCCGCAATCCTGACCAAGCTTTCGCTTCTTTTTGCGTTCCTCCAACGGCGCACGCTTATCAGCAAGCTCGACCTAGTACAATAATTGCACAGGGGTTAAAAATTAGGTTGGGTTGCGCCAGCGGCTGGATTGACACACGAATTGTGCACCGAACCGTCGGTCTGCGGCGACGGCTCAGGTACGCTGCCGGACGCACCTGAAGCTTTCTTCCCTTCAAGCTCTTTCCATTGTATTCTGTGACAGCGCGCTCGGCGTCTTCCGGCAAGGAGTACTGGACGAAGCCGAAGCCGCGATGCTTCGGCTGGCCCTTCACCCGGACGAGGAAACATTGCTTCACCGGCCCGACATCAGAAAAAAGCGCTTCGAGATCTTTCTCGTTTGCGTCGAAACTGACTCCTCTTATAAACACGGTGCGCAAGTCTTTCGCCGCCATGGGAGCTGCCATAGCGAGCGAAGGTGTTTATTTAGTTCTTTTAAAGGCCTGCCGTCATGCCTCTGTAAAGAATTAGTGGCTAAATCACTGAGCCAAAGCTAGCTGGGTTGCCCTAACTTGTGCGCGACCAAGCACATAACTTAAGTGGAAGCGTAGCCTAATAATTTATCTGTTAAACATGCAGGAAAGTCATGACAGACTATGCCACGCAAAACCACCGCATTTTTGTGAAGCTTTGGTACCGACAGCTAGAATTAACCGCAAACAACCAGAGCCTAACAACCTTCGTAGCCTAACAGAAATCGCAAAAGTAAGCGTGGCCGACTCATCCAGTCATCCCAGAAATTGCATCAAGAATTCTGTTGTAATATATCTCATTGTTAAACCTTGTCGGATGAGGTAACTGAATGTCCATGACCTATCGCCCCGAGGGTCTGCAGCGGGCCAAGCGTGGCTCACGTAGCATGGGGCTCAGCTATTGCAGCAGGCATTGCTGAGTTCCTCTAATCACATCCTCCGTATCAATTTTTTCATTTAACTTCTAAGCATCCTCTAACATGCCAACTCCCAAATACCTATTACTTACATTCAACCCAACGTTACTGTTGCTAAGCAAGTGAAAAACAGTAACATAATGCGGCAGTCCAACCTCCAAAGCTCCATCCCGCCGTTCAACCCCGGGATGACACACCAGCGTTGCCTCTCTCATTACCCGCACATTACCCGTGATCGCCGGCGGTAATCATTTATTTGTACAAGTTACAAGTTACAAGTTCCGCACAAGCACTTGTGCAGGGGTGTCCGTAAAAGCCTGAGGGGGGCCCTATGGACGGTGAATCGTTTTTACGGTTACGCGGTTACGTGGTGGACCATCATCGTCCTCCCTCCTACGCTTGAGCACGCGGCGCCTTAGAGCTACGTGCCGGGTCTCCCAGACTTTAGAGAGGGACCTGGCTAGTGCCAGGGGTGGGGCCTCGGTCATAATCGTGCGCATGTCGTGCCCTTGAAACGCAAGGTCACGTTCGTATTTAGCCAGCCGTGTACTTGTGTAAGCCGGGCATTCCACAAGAACATGCATGGAGGTGGAGATGGGTATGGAGATTGTTTGGAGTTGGAGATGTATCCACGTGCACGTGGGCTTGCATGTGACTGCATGTGCGGAACGCCGAAAGCAACAACACTCGCTGGAGGGAGGGATGGTACGACAACGTCTCACGCGCTCGGTTGTCACAATAACGTTTGGCAAAAACTTATCCGTCTCCCGTCCGACCCGGGGCTTTTACGGGCGGACCCGCATTCGTGCGGAACTTGTAGGCCCCTGGTAACCATCTAGCTTTTAATCCAGCTCCAGCTCCAGCTCCAGCTCCAGCTCCAGCTCCAGCTCCAGCTCCAGCTCCAGCTCCAGCTCCTGCTCTCCGTGGCTCCTGCTCTCCGTTTCCTGTTCTACGTGGCTTTTAGGCGTTCAGGTATTGCCCTTGGGCCTTCGGCTCGTATGGGTAGTTCTGCAGGTATGGGGTCACGCACCCCCAACCCCAACCATGCAACACCCCCCCACCCACCCACCGGTACTATCCTTGCTCGCCTACGAGGGAGGACCCCCGGTGCTGTAGGTGTTTTGACAACAAGGGGGCGGTACCTTGCCCTAACGTGCACTGAACACTCCTCATCCAATATAGCGAATGTCGCCCACGCGCCGGGGTGAGTGTGTGTGTATCGTGTGTTTTGGCGCGCACGCATTTGGTTGGTACCGTTATGCCGGCTGGTCGTCGGTGACCCGCCTCAGGTAGCCGTCCTTGTCTACCTATCCATTGGTCTATCCATCGGTCTACCCAACCATCGGTCTACCCAACCATTTCCATTACGTTCTTAAACATACACCGCGCCGGGCATGCGACCACGGGGCCTTGCATATGGTCTTATAACAAGCGGCGAATGCGTACGTGTGCACAAGGGGAGGCGCGCAAAATGATTTGCACCGCGCGCACTTGATGGTCAATCTCAATGCGCCGTCCATGCTCATGCGCGCATGCTTGAGGAATTACCTATGATAAAATCATAATAATCATGATAATACCAGCTAAATCTTAATTAGCGGAAGTGCGGCGGGACCCGTGTCGAGATATATCGGCGGGCCCTGTGCGGCCAACTGCGGTCCAGGTTGCGGTTTATCAGTGTTAAGGGCTGAAGGGGTTGCAGAGGCCACAGAGGTTCGGATACAGTGGAGGTATGAGAGGGTAAAACGGCCTAGTATGGGGCTAACGATCTAGGTGCATCCGTCTAAAACTTTACAAGTTTTCTCAGCCTTGCAGCACAGCACAGGCATCTTTATTACAGATACGATGAAGCTGTCGCATTTGGTTGCAAACTACTGGGGAGGGATTTGTTCCATTCCGCTGCAGCGTATGTGACTGAGGAGGCCAGGATGGCCATCATAAGGCCGCTGCAGGACCGCCACCTGAAGTCATCCTGGAGTCAAACGCATGTGAAGTTGGGAGGCCAGAGGTGAAGTGGAAGCGGTCTTCAAGGATGCTTCACCAGGCAAAGCACCCGGTCTAGGTGGTACCCATATCAAATTATACAAGGTGCGTCGGAGCGAGTTTGCACCGGTGCTTGCTGAAATTTACGCTGGCATTGGTCGAGTCAAAATGCTCCCAGCTGGCTTCTTGGAAGTTGTCATCACGGTTGTGTACAAAAACCGGACACTCACACCGTGCGTTCAGCCGCTTAACAAATTCCGTTTAAGTATACCCCCCCCCTGAGCAATTTAAGGGTGGCGTCAAGCGTGATGAGGTCATCACCACGCGTGCTATAGTGGGGGCCCCGCTCCTACTTAGTAAGCTGTTAAGGAAAGCCAGGACCTTGTTCGTCCATCTTCCAGCACTCGGTAACGGGCCCCAGTGCCAAATACAGATTCGGCAACAAAGGCCTGATGGCACAGCGTCTCCGGCCTCTGAACCAGGGAGTTCCAAAACCTACAGTGAAACTAAGAAAAGTATTGAGGCGGCCGCCGTGGGTCTTGGTAAAGATCATGCATCTCCTTCCTGCATGCCCTTTACCCGACGTACAATCCCATGTGTCTATTCACGTCCCAGGTGGGAATCCTTTGGTTTGGGATAATCGTTTTACCGCCAGATGTTCAGCGCATTGTTACAGCGTTGGCATGCCTCCTCCCAATTGAAGATCTTGATATTATTTCATTAGTTCCCAATACGTGGCGTTGGAGTTTGCCGCTGTAATTGACCAAGCTCACTTTTGTCAATTGACCTCGGTGCGCAGAGAAGATGATTCAGGGCAAGACAAAGCAACATAAACGAATATTCTTTGACCCTCATCGCGCTTTCAAAAAAAAATCGCATAGGGCCGATTCCAACGGCATGACGGACCAGCGAGATCAGAGCGCGCCGCAGGGATGTTGGTAAACATCTGCATAACGACTGCATTAACATCACATCCGACCACTTCAATTTAAGTAATCCGTCCGAGAATATGAATTTGTTTATGCATTATTTGTTGACCATGGCCCGTGCACCCAGAACGACATAAAGCACATGCTGTATTGCTTTGAGTTGTCATCGAATGGTCATGACTCAAGGCGGCGGTGTAGCAAATCGCCAAGATCGCGAGGTGGGGCAGGGGGGAAGGTGGCAAGCGCCCTATCCTTCCTTTCTTTCTTCCTCATAACCTCCTCCCTCGTTGTTATTGTACATTACTGTTCATTACCACGTCCTCACCAGTCCTCCGCTCCTCCCCCTCTCCATCCTCCCTTACCACACGCTTGGGTAGGCCACCCCTTCCCCCGTCCCTCGTACAGGAAAGACGCAGCCGACGTGACCCAATTATCTCACCCATCCCCCGCTGCATGAACGCAACCTCATACTCTGTTTCCCGAAGAATGCTATGTATGTATGCATGCAGCCTCTTTTTGCGCGTGGCCTTTCCCGCCATGCGCATGGCGTATGGACGACCGCCGGCAAAGCTACCAACAACACTTCCCGCTGGGATCCCGTCGAGGCCCAAATCCTGCGTCTTCTACCAAATGAAATTTACGCGTCTTGCGGGCTGCAGCGATAATGCATAATGCGGAAGCGCCATGCGTGCACGTGTCATAGCCTTTCCCGCGTCTTGCTGCTTTGTTCGCCAGCCTGCGCTTCGAGAGCCGTTTCGAAGGAAACGAGGCCGCGAAAGTGGGTGGCGAGCGACTAAACAGTAATTGAGATAGAAATCGAAATCTTCGAGATGGGAAGGCTGTAGCAAACAGCAGAGAGAGGGCTGAGCACCTGCACGGAGATGCTCACCGTCGCGAATAGTCGACGAATAAGGCAACGCAGTCATACATACGGAGAAATGGATAATCTCGGGGAGGATACTCAGAGGGAGATCTGTTATTATGTTCATTGCGAATGAATTAAACATAAGGAAAGTTTTCAGGGCTGGGAATGGTGGGCTGGACAAGACGCGACACAGAGCGAGTTGGGTTAATACGGATAAAGTGATCGCCATAGGGCTCCGTAACCGGCTTACTCCAGGCGTAAGCCTGCAAAGTCGCTTTGACGCGTTGAATAGTATAATGCGTTGTATAAAGATGTAAGCTTCGTAAATTATTCATTAAATATTTGCAACTGAAAAGGCTTAATGTGCCTGCCCGGACCCTCGAAGTAAGCGCCTCATGGAAATAAACGATTTGGCTATTTGACAGAATCCAAGCAAATATTGTTAAACTGATTTGCATGAGTGAACTGTGCTTTGGCGCCAAGGCATGCTTGGCGCGATCATGACTGATTGCATTTTATCCAACTTAAAATAAAGGCATACGTGTGCTTAAATACACTATCATTGCGCATATAATCACTGCGTAGGAAAAGGAGCTAATGACGCGCATGAGGTGCTTGGAAATTTTACGCAGTTGACCGTGGATGCACGGGATGCGTTGGGAAGGATGTTTTCGGCGTCTACAATGTTCATTTTACTATCCAATTCATACTTTGTATTATATCATATGTCTTTAAGCTCACAGGGCCTGAGGTCACGACAACATATGGAAGCCCTTTTTGTCTGCTGGCTGCTCCTATCATACGCGACGGAATACTATCCAATGAGACATCCCTATTGTAAGTTCCTAAATATGCAAAGTATGGAGGCTTGCCTGGCAGGAGAACTGCAATCGGGTTAGGCATGGTACCTGGGCTGGGGCAAGGCTTTGAATTAATCATGGCGGGCGCCCTACAATTTGAGCTTACCTGTTACACGGTATACCACGATAGGTTGGAATGTGACATCGTTTTCTGCTGATGTAGTATGCAAGATGTCCGCCCACCTCTGCGACGAGTTGTACATTGCATAGTTTCAAGTCTCGACTCAATACGCGGTTCTTCGTTTCGGCTTCACAGATGCAAATCGATGTAACAACTTAACAGGAAAACATGGGAATCCTTCAAAATCTCAAATAATATTTCTGATAACCTAAAATATCTATCTCTGACACAAGTCCAGCCAGGTGCTTAGGTGCTTATTGTTAAGTGTACGGGAGTTGTTTTTGCGCCTAGCATGCCAAGTTCAGGAAACCATGGACAGGAAGATAGTAGCTCGGGAAGAGCTGTAATGTGATGCCCAAGAATAAGTAAATTGCGATGTCAGAATCCGTGAAGCGTGGACGACAGTGCCGTCAATCTTGATTATTCCGAAACTCTAGCCAACACTAAATTTTCTTGCAAGCCATTGGTTTGAGAAATAAATGGCCACTAAATTCACATTGTAGCTTCGGAACTTCCGACGGCGCTCGTCTGCGGTAAGGCTGTTCAGGGCTGTACCGGTGGTGCTGGGGACTTGCTGCCCATGTAAGGAAAAATTGGATTTGACTAGGTTATATATTATGCTGCTGCCAAACTGGCTTTTGCTTTCGCTGCCCGACGCACTTATCGACAGCCGTGAGGTAGTCCCTACACAGCCTGGGACCTCGGTCAAGCTGTACTCCAAAAGTCCCAATCAAATGCAATATAGCATGCAGTGTCAACGCTTGTTTGTAGTTTACCAGCTGCGCCTATTTTCACTTGTGTCCATTCATATCCCAGCGCGCGCCCTGTGTGCATTTCGCAATCGACCGCATTCCTGTAACTCTATTCGTTTTCTCCCCGCATCCATGCTTCAGTACGACAGGAAGCTTTTTCGGTGAGGGAACAACTTGACCATCGCTTGGAGGCGAGGACGGAACGCCATCTACCTGCAACTTCACAACCGAAACGCGTAGATTCCTGGCGGGCATCTTACCCATTGCATTTCCACCATTTTCATCCATCCCAGCAAATGCCAAGTTCCACATGCGCTATGCACTACGCGTGCGCGTAAACTCATGTCGTGGCTTTGCTGGTTTGGACTCGTTCCACCTTTAACGGGCTTTAACGCATACAGCCGAGAGCCGAACCGAGAGCCGAACCAGAGCTGAGCCGAGAACAGCCCCCGAAGCACCAGCAGGTCCCTCGTCCCCGAAAAAGTAAACCCTTTCCCCTCTTTCTTTTCCTAGAGGAAAAAAAATACAATTTGGGACTTATGTCTTCACGCCGGGCAGAGGAGGCGCGATCGCCACCGCCGCTTGAGTTCGGCTCACGCAGTTACCGCTCCGTCGGCGGACTCTGTACGGAGCACGGCCCGATTTTCGAAGTCATGCTCCCGACTGCATACCGCCGGAAGTCGTCCCCTCAGACGGTCGTACGAGTTCAGTCCGGCATAGGGCAGGTCGTCGAAGGAGGTGCTTCAGCGGGTATCAAGGTGCTGCAAGGGAGGGCAGGCGATGTTGCAAACGGTGCATCGGAAGGTGCAGCAACCGCCAACACGGAGCCAGCAGCATTAGCGGCGCCGATGACTCTTCCCTCGTACGACACGGGCGGATCTCGGGGCACTGTTGTCCGTCCCGGCCACCACCGGCGTTCATATGACACGACGGCTCAAGCCGCCCCGGCGGTCCGTCCTCCGCAGCTCCGAGGGGGGACCCCTGGCCACGACCAGCTCACGCGAACTCAATCGCCGCAACTCGGTCCGCCAATACAGCGGAATTCAGCGTCTCCGCCACAGCAGCAGCAGCAGCAGCAGCAGCAGCAGCAGCAGCAGCAGCAGCAGCAGCAGCAGCAGCAGCAGCAGCAGGAACAGGAACAGGAGCAGGGGCAGGGGCGCCAGGTCGCCACCCCAAGTGACCTTATGCCCCCACCGCCAACCCCCCCACCGCCACCCCCACCGCCGCCGGTGTCGCTGCCGCTGGCAGTGGTAACGCCATTATCATCGACACGGCCCGACACATACTCGACGACACAACCGCAAGTCCACCCGGCAACACACCTCACATCACAGCAGCAACCGCCGCCACAGCCGCCGCCGCCGTTGCCACCGCCGCCGCCGCCGCCGCCGCGGCAGCAGCAGCAAGAGCAGCTGGAGGCCCCGCCTTCACTTCAGCCGCAGAAAGCGCAGCAGCCGCATGCACAGCCTCCGCAGCGTCCGCAGCCTGCGCAGCCTCCGCAGCATACAGCAGGAGATGATTGGAGTGGCCAGCAGGTTGTAAGTCTACAAGAACCCCTAGCAGGGAGCAGTCGTAGCAGCGTCAGCCGGCGCGGCAGTAGCAATGTAACGAATGGGTCCAGCCCCGTAACGCCCACAGGTGTTGCAGCCGTGACTGCGTCAGATGTTGCCGCTACTGCTGCCGCTACTGCTGCCGCTGCTATAGCCATCGCGTCGGACGGCACTGCTAGCAACACGGCAGTAGCTGCTGGTTTACGTGATTGCCACTCGCCACAGAAGTCCGGGCAGTGCGGGCCCTGGGCACAGCCCGCACCGCGGGGCCAGGGACCCATGGGTCGCGCTCACCCTGTGGATCACCACGGACCCCAAATGCAAGATCACCACGGACCCCAAATGCAAGACACAGGCAGACAAGAGGCGGCGGCGGCGCCGCCGCCCCCGCATCAGCAGCGGCAATTCAGCTTTCCCGGCTACAGCTCCTCTGCAGGTGACGCCGAGACTATGAAACGGATGGGGGCTTCCGAGGGCCCTGATTCGGACTATGCAGTGTCGTGGCCTGAGGTGCCTTCAGCTATCGAACAAGAAGGCTGGAAGGCCCAGGATTGGCGCGGCCAACAGCAGCCGCAGCGTGAGGAGCCGCCGCCGCCGCCGGGGGCCCCACCCCCACCCCCGCCCCCGCCCCCGCCCCCGCCCCAGCAGCAGCAGCAGCAGCAGCAGCGGCGGCGGCAATCTAGTGGCTGGCGATGCGAAAGCGGTCAGTTCCAAAACGATCGCGAGATGGATTTTGGATCCAACACCGGTACGAACCAGACTCCAGATTTGAATATGGACGAGCAAGACACTGAAGAGGGACAGCCGAACAGTGCCGTACAACGACCGCGAGGCGAAGGCAGCATGGTGCAGCATGCACTCAAATGTAATCGTACGGCAGGAAATGCCGTACAAATTGCATCAGCTGAGTCTTCGACGGTGGCGACCGCGACATTGGAGGTCGCCGACAGCCGGCCTGGATTGCCTGGGGAGCGCCAAGGCCCCTGTCCAGCTTTAGGATCCGCAAGGGACACGGACGCGGGAAGTCCCCCTCGAAAAATGCACGACGACGACGACGACGACGACAATGACGATGACAACGGCGACGATAGGCACAACACCGAGCATTGCGTCAGCCGCCAGCCGCACCGTGAGAACCAGTTGGGCGGACAGGCCGCTCCAGCCGCCTCCGAGCCCGGTGTCCGACAGCCTTTGGCCACTCCGTTCGCCGAATGGGAGAGTGGCATGGAGCTGCTCGCAGCAGCAGCAGCAGCAGCAGCAGCGGCGGCGGCGGCGGCGGCTGATCCCCTGTTGGAAGACCCTGGGGTTCCCGGTCCGCCAGGGTGCATTGCCAAATCAGGCACCGCTACCGGCGTGCCAGGGGAGGATGTTCCAGGCGTGAGTACAAATCCGGATCCAGATCTGTCAGCCGATGCTGGGAAGGGGCAGCAGCTGCAGCAACAGCCACAGGCCCGTCAGCCCCAGGACGCGTCACATCCGCCGCCGCCTGCGAGCCTGCAGCTGTCATGTCTGGCGGCTCCGGCGGCGGCGCATTATCAGGAGCAGAAACCGGAACAGGAGCAGAAACCGGAACAGGAGCAGAAACCGGAACAAAAACAGGAGCAGCAGCAGAAACAGGAACAAGACTCGGGTGCGCCATCACCGGGTTCCTTCAAGACTTCGGCCCGGGTAGAGCCACAAGGGCCGCCGCTGCTTCAAACCCAAGCTATGTCAGAACCGTACGATGGCTCGAAGCATTGCATGACATCTGCCGTACATCCAACACGGCTGCCTGATCAGTTGGAGATTATCACGCAGCAGCCACTGCAAAAGGATAATTTGCCTGGAAATGAACAGCATAAGGCCCAGCAGCCAGCAGTGCTGCCGTCGCCGCCACTGCAGCAGCCGGCGCAGAAACAGCCACCACAGCAGATATCGCTGCTGCAGCCTTTACGACATCAGCCACAGCCACAGCCACAGCCACAGCCACAGCCACAGCCACAGCCACAGCCACAGCCACAGCCACAGCCACAGCCACAGCCACAGCCACAGCCACAGCCACAGCCACAGCCACAGCCACAGCCACAGCCACAGCCACAGCCACAGCCACAGCCACAGCCACAGCCACAGCCACAGCCACAGCCACAGCCACAGCCACAGCCACAGCCACAGCCACAGCCACAGCCACAGCCACAGCCACAGCCACAGCCACAGCCACAGCCACAGCCAGAGCTGCAGCAGCCATTGGCACCACTGCCAACACAATTGCCGCCTAAGTTGCCACCACAGCCGCAGCCGCAGCCGCAGCCGCAGCCTTCCCCCCCTGGAGGAGCTCCCGAAGAGCCGCGGCGACCTGACCTGCCCGAGCCAGTGTACGTCACCGTCGCAGCCACCATCGCCAAACGCGGGAAAGTCGCCGCCATGGCGGCGGCGGCGCTGGGTAAACGTAGCAGGGCAGCTGCCAGCGCAGCGGCGGCGGATAGCCGTACGGTCCCCTCTGGTGGTGGCGCTGATGACGAGGCTGACGGCGACGATGACGGTGAGGCGGCGGCGGCGGCAAACTCGACGACACCAATAATGCTGGTACGGCAGCGCCGTACCGTGACGTTGGGAAATTTTGTATTACACCTGCGGCCGGACGTGACTTGCAACGTGCTGGGCGTGTTCCATCCTCAACGCTACCTGGATATGACAGAGTGCATCGAGTGCCCCCCAGAATCGGGTACCTTTATTACACGGAGCCATTTCGAAAAGGTACGGCAAGTACGGCAATCATGGCAAACGAAGTAGGCAAATCATTAGTGGGGCAGGTCGCCGAAAAGGGAAAACAGGTCAAGGAAGTCAAGGTTACCATTGTAACAAGAACGCGTCGGGGCTTTGGCGCCACTGCTCATGTTGTCGGTTTGGATGCAATTCGGACCCCCTTAAATGTATATATATATATAGGCAGGCGGCTGGCAGAGGTTAAGGCCTGACTTCTGCTCCCGGTCGACCCGGGTTCAAATCCGCCTGCCGATCTCTCGGGTGTTTGAGAGGTGGTGAAATGGGAGGTGGCCCCCCATCTTGTGGACGGTGTAGGACGTGATAAAGTCAACTCGCGAGCTGACCAGGAACTAAGTTGAGGCGCCGTTGATCCGCTAGATTTGGTTGGATGCTGGTGGTGAGTTGCCAAACTCAAAGAGTACACTCTGAAGTCGGATGGGGTGAATGGCGTAGGGTGCCCCTCTAGCAGGGGAGAGCAGGGAATTGCCTCGGGAAGGAGGCCACTGGTGAAGCTTAACCACCCTGTAACAACATCAACATCATATATCAAGAGAGGGCTCCGATCCCACAGGCTATTTGCGTGTTTATTTGCCGGCCAACCAGTTGCGTATGGTTGCCAAATTCCGTCTTTGTTGTTGGCCTTTGGAGGTCAACAAAGGACACCATAGGCCGAGAGAGTGCCGTACGTGTCAGGTCTGTACGTCGGGTAAGGTTGAGGATGAATACCATGTGCTCATGGAGTGTGAGGCGTATACTGAGTTGCGTAATAGGTTTCTGATTAACGTTGAAGATACTGATATGCGCAAGGTATTTCTTAATACCAATCCGAGGAAAATCGCTACTTTCCTTACTGAGGTTTTTGATGAGCGTCAACAGCGTGCTCTGGAGCCTCACGGCTCGTGAGGGCACCCGCCGCGTCGGCGGCGGAAATACTGTAACCACAATACAATACAATACAATACAATATATCATATATACATATATACATCACCATGACCTGCCCAACCCTGCACCACCGTACAACGCCGTACGACGCCTGTCATATTACTAATTAATTGCTGCCCACGTCGCCCGCTCCTGCAGGTCGGCGGAGCCGCGACCGCGAAGTGGTACCGCTCCATCCGCGTGTTGCCTAGTTTGGAACACCTGGGCAGCTGGCTGGCGAGGTTGAGCCTACCGGTGGGGCGGCAGGGAGAGGGGGGAGAGGGCAGTTGAAGAGAGAGCGCTGTGGGGCAGGATGCTTTGGGAGCTGCTTTGCTTGGTTGAACTTCCGCGCAACAGTGCAATTTGTAGGATGTTGTGACGACATAAACTGAGGGTATGTACGGCAGATCATCATGCTACTGCCGTTACCGCACGCAGGTCTTTAAGGGAGTCGGCCGGCGAAGACACCAACGTTGTATTGCTGGGGAGCCCGTTCTTCAGGCGGGTGATCAGGGCCAGTATCAACTCCATTTCGACTCTGCAGCTGCCGCCGAGGACGCGTCTCCTACCTTTGCTGCAGCCGCAAAACCATCGGCTGCTTTTGCTACGGCTTCTGCTGCTACTGCCGTATATGCCTCGGCAGCCCAGGCTGACACTCAGCCCAGCCCAGCGGCGATGCGAACAGCCGCTGGTACGGCACCGTGCCCAATCGGTCTTGGCGGCGGCCCATGGCCTCGGAGGACGGTGATGACAGCTACAGCCGCCGCCATGGCAGCGGCAGCGACGGCAGCGGCGGGGACGGCGCGAATGCCGTATTTGCCTGAGGAACTCTTCCACGATGACATGGCGGCGGCGGCGGCGGCGGCTTCGGAGGCAGCGTTAGAGGCAGGGGGGGAGGCCGCTGGTAGCGGTGGCATGGAGTACGATGTGTACGGCGGTTGGTACGATGAAGAGGTCCTGAACTTTAGCCGCTTTCATACACTGGGATTACCGGCCGGTTGTTACCAGGGACATTCTGGGTTGGCACCACCGGCGGCGAAGCTAAAGCAGCTGCAGCCACCGCCGCCATCGCTACTGCCGCAGCCGCAGCCGTCGCAACTCATCCGAGCTTGGCGTAACGCTGTAGTCCCTGGGTGGTCCAGGTCGCGTATTGTGCACACGTCCGGCGGCTCACTGTACGATTTTGGACCGTACGACATGGCGCCGTACAATTCAAGGTCGCCGTACCCTGGCGGCTGGCCACAACGTGTTGTAAGATCGATGGGGCCGCAGCAATGTCCCAACGGACGGCGGATGCCGGCAGTTGCAGCGGCGGCGGCGGCGGCGGCAGCGGCTGTAGCTGGTGGAGACCTGGCCGCCGCCGGCGGCAGCAGCTGGACTGCCAAGGGAATTGGCAGGATTGGCACCGCCGACAGTGACGGCGACGACGTGACGGTGCCGACGACAAACCTATGGTACGAGGCGGGGGTAGCGGCGGATGCGGTCCCGCTGCCACCGCCGCCACCCACACGACGAACGGCCGGTGCGGCCACCAGCACCGGTTCTGGCAGCGCCGTTGACCACTGGAGAAAGGGTCGTACGGATGCACATCAGGTCCTGTACGACATACCATTGCTGCCGCCAGCAGCAGCGGCGTCTGATGATGACGCCGCAGGCGTAAGCGGCGACGCCACCGTTACGTTCCCCTCATGCTACAGCCCGCCGCCGCGGCCGCCGCCGCCACGCCCGGCCAAAACGCCATTAAGGCGCACGATAACGACACCCACAAATACGCCTGCTGCAGCTGCGGAAATGTCCTTCAAGCGCACGTCGCCGCCAGCGGTGGCTGTAGCGGCGGCACCGTGGCCGCCGCCAGCAGCAGCAGGATTGCAGGGAGGCGGTGCGGCGCTACAGCGTCGGAACCCGCGATTAAGTGCCGTAGCAGTAGACCGCGGCAACGAAAACGACGACTATGAAGTTTACGCAGGGAATCAGGAAGCATTGAAGCGGCAGCAGCAGCAGCAAACACGGTTTGGGGGCTGCGGCAACGGTCCGCCGGCTGTTCGACTGCCGTACGGAGCGCCTCCGTCACCGCTACGACGGCCCTCCTATAAGAAGCTACATGAGCCGGCTCCTACTGACGGCTCCGACGGGGGGACCGTTGCCGTCACGGTAGCCGACAGCGCCGGCGGCGGCGCCGGCAACGGCGTGTACGGCGTCCGGCTTGTGGTACATCAGCAGCAGCCGCAGCCGTACAACTTGTACCAAGCCCAGAACCATAGGGCACCAGCGCCAGGTGCCGGCCGGCAGCCCGCGCGACCCCTGCACGTGCCCTGGTCGACCATGTACGACAATGTGTCCCAAGGTACGAGCAGTATCGGCCACGAGGACGCTGGGCCTAAGCCTCCTGCCACTCGTGCCCGCCAGCCCGCACCTGGCGTCACCAACGACGTCGGTGCACTTCACAATTCGTACGATCCGTACGAAAACCTGATTACACTTGTACGACAGGCTCCGCCGGCGGATGTTCTGCCAACGCGGTTTCCCCCGGCTACTGGAATCCGTACACTGCAGCGCAATGATGGCTTCGGTCTGGAAGATTCGCTTGACTTGCCGCTGGGTGGTGCCGACGGCCGCTCGGTGTGCCCGGGATCCGAGCGGGCACACCGCGAGGCGGCGGCAGCGGCGGCGGCGGCAACGGCAGCGGCGGCGGCCGAAGATGATGATGACGATGACGATGATGAGAGGTTTAAAACCCAGCAAACCATCCGACAACAGAACCGCACGGCGCCGTTGCCTCCGCTACCGTGGGGACACGGCGGCGCCGCCACCGCCGCCACCGCCACTGCCGCGGCCTTGCGCGGGAGAGCCGACGGCTTGCAAACCGATACAAATCCCCGGAGCCAGTACCCGCAACCATCATCGCAACCATCATCACAGCCCCTGCCGCAGCCATCAAAGCAGCAGCAACATCAACAGCAACAGCAGCTGCAGGGACTAGCCCAGCTCCACCTCCAGCGGCTGCTGCTACAGCACCACCACCACCAGCAACAGCAGCAGCAGCAGCAGCAGCAACTACTGGCACTGCGGCAACAAGAGGAGCCGATTGGCGCTGCAGCCAACACTGCGGCCTCTAAGCGCCGTCGGGAGGTATCGTACCGATATAATCATACGTCGGAGGACATGCCGTACAACGAAGATAAAGAGGGCGACAGCGGCGCAACCGCTAACGAATTCACGGAGCCGTCACGTGCGCGTAGGAAGGTCGACAGGTCACAGACCTGGGGCTGTCCACAGCCACCCACACAGACAGGACCGGAGCTGGTTCGTCAAGTCGAGCGGCAGGCGGTTGCGAGTGCTGCTGCGGCTGCTGCTGCCATCGCTGCTGCCGCGGCTGCAGCTACTGCTACTGCTACTGGCGGCAGGAAGCGCAAACTTGGCGACAGCGGCGACGGCACAATGTGCAGGTAACCGGGGGGAACCGATCTACGTGACGGGAATCCAATTCCCCGGCACCTCGCATGCTATAATATAATGTTGAGGTCGCACTGGACTCCAGACAACGGCAAACGATTCGGGAGTTTCGGGTCGTGCCGAAAAATAACAGAAATAAAATTCCCGAAGCCGGCCGGCTTGCAGAAATAGGATCATATGCCGTATACGAAAGGCGTTATGCGCCCGAAGGTCCGCCCGATGACCTCAGTCCGCGGTCAATGATGACAGAAGTAGACCTGTTCGCGAAACCAGAAATATCCCGTTTGCCGATGTCTGGTCTGGTCGCGCAGTGCATCATTTCGGTTATTGATTGGTTGGTCGGTAGGTTGTACGGCTGAGGATTTTAGGAAAGGCTGAGTTCGAGCTCCTGCAAGCATCCATGTTCTAAGGGGTGAAAGAGCTGGCGCCGCCGGTGTTGGGTTTTTTAGTTACGTGCGGGTCTATAAGAGCTCGATCCGGTCGGTACGTCTCTTATCTCTTTGTACAGTTTAAAACAGCTCCGAGTAGTAGCAGCGTCACATCGCTCTAGCGTCATGCCAATTTTACCCTCAATGAATCCTTGTGCCCATGTCTCTGTGCGCATGCGTATTCGGTTTTGGTGCTTAGTCGCGTATAGTTCCGAACTGGTTTAACTAGTTGCTGTACTTCTGTTTCGCTAATCGTTTCGGCGACGAGACGAGATGGCACGCTCGATTGCGTGTGTTAAAGCGTTGAGAATTTTGAAGTTTCAATGTTTTTTATGCAAATCGAATGACTTTTGAGGAGAGCACGTAACGTAAAGCTACTATTGCCCCTGAACCAATATAGCAGCTCTACTCCAACTGCTGCTACTGTTCAGAGTAGTAGCATTAGCTCTTTCTAAGCTGATCCCCCGGATATTATACTGTTATTAGCTGTTATTAAAGCTGCGTACCTCGGTTGTTTAGATAGGGCATGAACCAGGTGGCGAAGGCTGGGCGGCTGGCTTGAGGTTGTGCTGGGGAGTATACGGTGAAGTGGGCGAAGAGGGCGTGGTGGGTGCGCGCGGCATAAGAGCGGATGCTGGCGCTGGGGATGTGGCCGCCAGCCCCCCGGCGGCGTGGGACGGGACGTCAAAGACCCTTGAGCAGCCGGAATGCGTCTGTCAGTATGTACGCTTACCACCGGGAGCGATGGGCGGCATTATGTATGTCAGTGCGGGTGGTGGCGGTCGTCCATGAGTTGTGCAACTACGCACTGAATACATGGCCATACCGCATAGGTCGCGGTAAGAGGCGTCCGTTGGGACCAAGGAGAGCTTAGAGGCGTTGCGTCCAGAACATTCCTAATGCCGTACTGCGGCCGCAAAGAAAGCTGCATCTGTGTAGCAGTGTCGTGGAAGGAGTCATGGAAAGGGCAGAATGACGGATGAGGCGACTAATGCCCCGGGTCCACGCACACAAAGCATCGATGAAAATGGCTGCAGCTGTCTTTGAGGGCGGTTGGAAATGGTTTCTCTGGCGCTGCCGCCCACGTAAAGGCCAATTGCGTACTCCAAAGAGTGTTTGAAAAGGAAGCGCAAAAGGGAATGCAAGACCGCAGGCAAGCATGAGGGCCATTTCTTCAGCACGGGGAGGAAAAGGGGGGGTAGTAATAGTACGCGTTCCGGTCTTGTCGCGTAGGGGCTTTTTCCTCCTTCCTCTTCCCAGATGTGTGCGGGCATGTGCTTTGAAACGAGGTGTGCGGAACGGGACCGGCTGCCTTCTTTCAACAGTGCAGCTTGGGACTCATTCGGGGTTGCGTAGAGGTTGGGCTCGTGAGGTTGGGCTCATGTCGTTATTTGGCGCTGACAAAGAAGCGATATTGGCGGCGGCAGGTGCGCGCATGGTGATACGTCTGAGCGAGTATGCAATGTACATACATCGGTTGTACTGCGGCTTATGTATGTTGTACGTAATTATGAATGCCGCTTGCTGATGAGCATGCAAGACTGCATAGATGTTGCAATGCTGCGTCGCACCCCCGCTGTGCCCCAGCCGGCGCCGGGCCTAAGATGCAGCACCGCACCGAAGGGACCCGTGGGATGGTCCCAAACGTCATTAGCTACTTCACTGCTGACGTTATCCTAGTTCCAAACCCCCGTAGGAAAGGTTTGTCCCCGCTCGAGCCCCTGCCGCGTTACGGGACAGGTGGAATATGTGAATAGTCCGATTGAATATTGTGATTGTGTTTTTGCATAATGCAAAGCATGATTGAAGGTATGTAGGAGGTCTGTAGATTAGCCAGCCCATGGGCCCAGGGTCGACATGTATTTGAATTGAAGTGTGCCTGTCTAAAAAAATGTGTGTGCTGCAGGAATGTAAGGGGCAGGGCGACCTCACTGCCTATGGCTTCCTTCCTGCCACTGTCGTCAGTAGTAGTATTAGTAGTAGCAGTGGCAGTAGCAGTAACAGTAACAGTAACAGTAGCAGTAGTAGTAGTCAGTCGCATACCTAACTTGATACTATATTCGTAAGCCTAAGTTCTTAAGTGCTTTCTGAAGCGACATAATGTGAAAGCACGGCGAAGTGCTCGGGACACGTGAAGGCGGGAGATCCCGCCGGCATAGAAGAGAGTATACGCTTTAACGATATGAAAAATGGAAGGAAGGGGGTTGTTGTAGTATAGGGGGTTATTATATATGAAACAGTAAAATATGTTTGGTTACTTGCTTGCGACTGCTCGCCGCTTATTACTCTGGTGCGCCTTGCGACGGTTTTGCGATTCATCAATCAATAAGTTAAAAGCCATGTTTACTTTTTAAGCAGACGCAAAGATTATGTGCGAATGCTTTTTAAGGGCCTATAGTAGTCTTTTTATGTGATCTGATCGCGCTACGAGGCTCCGAAAGCCCAGGAGGTCGCGGAGCTGTCACTTTCCATTCGACTGGCAGTCCGGCCCCTAAGCTCGCAAGGGCTGGCGTATCGGCATTTTTTTCGTCGCGCAATCAAGACACTTTGCAAGTAAGCCTTTTTCCTTAATCTTCCATCTATTGGTGCTTGTGCGTGATATGTGGTCCCTTAGACGAATACCAAGTTGTGCCAGTTGTACCAGTTGATTCCTTCACGGATCCCTCATCATCTCTAGCTTGTAGAGGCTTAGGCAGGGTTCGCGGCGGGGTCTTGTTCGCGGCTCGACCTTGTCATCTTTACTCGGGCGGCGGGGAGCATATATGAGGCCGCATGGCGCCTCGACTGAGACCTCCGCCGCGTACGTTTTAGTTTGGCGCTCGGCGGTAGCGCCAGAGCAGCTGCACCTGGTGAAGTGTCTTAAACTGCCGCACGAGATCGCAACAAGTCGAGATCAGCAGGCTGGCGCCCACCATAGGTGCAACCGACGGCGCTTCCCATGTACCTAAATGAATGCTTTCGTAACTTTGCCTGGGCGACTCGCCGGTTCGAGACACCAAACTTGCAAGCAACTCCCTTGTTATTTAGCTTATTTATTTAAAGCCTTATCTTAACATGAAATATTTAGGTCAGAACTGGAGATCCCTCCGTCTGTTCAAAAATTTCCGCCAATCCGCTTAGATGTAAGGCACGCACTTTCTACGCGGCGTTTAAACAGACAAAAAATCTGTTTAGTTGTCATCAGTCTGCCGCAGTATTAAGAAAGGGAACTCCGTGTACTGTGAACTTACTGTACGAAATGGAGGGCGGGCGATTGCAAGCGTTGATGTACCTATCTGTTCACACGGCTAACACCGTTCAGTCTCCAGTGGGGCTGCCAACCAGATTGCGTTTTATGAAGGTGGTTTACAAACTCGAAATCCTTGGCTGATGACTCGTATCATATATATCTCGTACACCTGTATTGTGGCTTATCTGTTGGGTACGGCATACATAAGCGATGCTTAGTTGAGAAATTTATATCCCGCCCACTGTCGACACATCACCAGTGCACACATGATGATGCTGGCTGAAATGCGTTCGTGCTCCTTCAAGGGTTTATGGTTGCTTCATCCAGAACGACGTTTCAAAAGGAAACGCACTTCCCTTGCGTTGCCGCCGGATGGCCATCACTGAATGGCTGCAATCGCTGCATCAACCATTTAAGAGACACGACGATGTATCTTGTTTAAGCATGTAGCTTCATCATGTAATCCCCGCCTTCCTTGTCATAGTGCGCGCCCGCAAGTGTCCAGACAGGCAGGGCAGGGCAGGGCGTACGGTCATGCCGTACAACTTCCACGCTTGCTACACTTCCCCACGCAGGTGAATGGGATATCGGGGGGTTCTGCTCGGGGCGAAACCACCCTCCGCCTTGGACGAGGCGCCGGAAATAATGGACCGAACGATAAAGACGTCTTCGGTTATGAAAAACCAGGGTTTATACCCAGGTAATACCTCGCATCTGAGCGCTATTAAGCTCGTGGCTTTTCGGTCAATGAAATTGCCAACGTTTGCAATTGCAATCAGCTTCCTAAAACCATAACGGGAACTTTGGCATCATAGCGCTCAAGCTTGTAATGAACATGTTTGGAGATGATCAAGCGCCACCCTTTTCCTTAGGTATCAAATAGTAATCAATACTGAAGAGAGAGTAATTCATCAGTCCTGGATTCCACGTCGGCGATGTGTCCGTGTCTACGTGCCTTCTGTTATATCACGACTTCAGAGAAGTACCGATCGGCGGATGCAGATCCCGTGAGATGCCCAATCGATCAATCTGATTGATTCCAAGAGATCCGGTTCCAAATGGCGGCCGCCCACCCACCGACACCTTTCCGATTCCGACGACTACTCACCGCAAGATCGTACTGTCGTGACGAGCGCTAATCCGCAAGCTCCGCCCAACCCCAACCCCGCCCGCACACGCATGTGTGTGTGTGTGTGTGTGTGTTTAACATGGTCGTGGGGGTGCGTACCCCGTACCTGCAAACCACCCTAATACGAGCCGAGGTCTCAAGGGCTGCCAGGTCGCCTATATGCACACCATCCTATCTCGGACTCCAGACAAAGCAAGTGATAAAGGCCACCAAGGAACGTGTGATGAACGTTTGCGCTTTCGGCCCCCAAGCTCCGCAGCTGACCTTTCCCCTGCCCCTTTTCCTCGTTGTTCACCAAACTTCCAATTTCACACACAGACACAAACAAACAACCCATCTGTAGCCTTGCGACGTCGTACAACGTCCGTCCTTATTTTGCGCGGTTTCCCCGACCCCGTCGGAAAACGTTTTATCTCATAGGCGTCTTGGAGTTCCGTGGCCAGAGCCCCCGCGAAGTGTGGGGTGAAGTCTGAAGTGCTACGTTCTGCCCCTTCGCTATCCCCCCAAACCCTCAGCCCTCTGGAAGAGAAGAGCTCAGACACACAGACACAGACAGATAGACAGACACACGCAGAAGTCGACTGGAGCAGCAGTAGCAGTATATGTACCATGGCCAGCAGCGGCAACGATAAGCGGAAACCCGTCATATTACTATATATGTGTATGTGTGCCGATATGGTATGTACGAATATCAATACTAAACCAACTGAAGAATACGACCCGCGCACCCACGTTCTGAATCCATCCCACAAGCCCTCCGACGTGACCTCCTTTTGACAAAACACGATTCCTTTCTTACAACTTTTTTCTTCTCGCCCCGCGGTGAACGGTTAAGTAGCAGTTCATCGTTCGGACGCAGGAACCAACACGCATCCTGCTCTCCTTTGCGATGCAGTTAGATTTCAAGCACATGCACAAACGTACGCACGTGCAAACCGCCCAAGAAGATGGCTTATATCCGAGTTGTTGTTGTTGGTGGTGATAATGAGAGGGTGATGGTGTTAGAAATGGAGATGACGGGGTGATAAAAAGTGGTATTGGGGTTAACGGGTGCGGGGAGTTAAAACTGCTGCTCACGCACCGCTGTGTTCGGAGGCAACCTGATGACGGTACGGCAAAACGGCGACGGCAGCGGTGACAATGATAGTTGCGGCGTGTTGCCAAGTAAGGCAACCAGGGCGACAACGGGGGTAGAAGGAAGGGGGGGGGGGGAAGGGGCAGAGGGCGGACAGGTTCTGGAGCGGGGTGGAGGCAAGTAGGGAGGATTGCGGGATTGCGCGGAAAGAGCAGTGCACGCTACGCTTTGAAAAGGGTCGAGAGATAGCTGAGGAGTGGGTGGAGGGGGAGGAGGGGGTGGAGGGGGAGGAGACGAACCACGAGCGAGTGAAGCTCATGCCAAGGAAAGACTGACGCGCCAGAAGTAAAGCAGGAGGGGGGCCCCGGATGGAGGAGGTGAAAAGAAGGAAACATGCAGACATGCGAAGCAATGCACACATATACCACACACATGCAAACGTGGCTCAGATCATTCAGACAGACCATAAGCACCCGGACCAGCATCACAGCCCTCCCTCTCCCCCCTTTTCAATACCCCCTCCCAACCACTTCCCAACCAACTCACCGTGATCAGCTTCCCCCCTTGGAAAGTGGAAATAAATTGCTCCGGAACCGCGTGCTCATGCGGGTCGCTTGAGTCACCCTCGGCCGGTACGACAACCACATTAATGGACGAGCATTTGGCGCTGACAATTTGGAAGTTGGGGTCCGAGGCGCACTGCATGGTTTGAAGGGCGGGAGGGATAGAAGGAGGGTAGATATGGTGGTGTTCGTTGGGCGGGTGGGAAGTTATACGCGAGGTTTCAGGGTTTAGCTTGAACCTTGACCAGGCACAGCACAATACACATCATGGTACCTTCCCTTCGTTCGGATTTTCCCCCCACACACACACACCTTTTCCGCCTCCACCTGCCCCCCAAACCCAACCAAACCGATGATAAGCCCCGCTTGCCTGCTGGCTCAAAAACAGCTGTGCTTCGTCCGTCTTCTCTACGCTGATGGTGGGTACGGTACCCGTGGTCTGTACGACAGAAAGAGTTTGGGTTTTAGGGTATAAAAAGGACAGGTTTGCAGGGTTTAGGTTTTGACTGGATGGGATGGGGGGGGGGGCAAACCCACATCTTCAACTCCCATGCCTGCCTCCCAAACCCACCGGGGCTCCACCACAACCCCCACCGCCCGCCCATCCATTTCAACAACCTAACCCCCTCCCCCGACTTCTTTCGCTTCGTCTCCCCCTCCCCCACACACACATCTCATCCCCCGAAAAAGGGTTTTCTCTACCCCTTCCTGCTAACCTCTCCCCTCGCCCCAGCCAAGAAAACACTGACAGACAGACAGACGGACACACATAGATAGTCAGAGACACACAGACCTGCAGCTGCACGCTGTTGCAGTTCACGGCCTCTGCCGAGGAAATGACGTTCCCAAACACCACTCCCACTCGCCGACAGTTGTCCAGAGTGATAGCGTTCACCTTGCCTTGGACCTAGGTGGGGGAAATGGAGGGCTGCGTATGTATGTATGTACGTACGTATGTACGTATGACTTCGATTACACTATACATATGTATGTACGTATGTATGTGTTAGGGAGGTGAGGTGAAAGGAATGGGAGATGGGGGGAAGGGGTGATGACATTGATGGTGCACGCAAACCAGTTGCGTACCTAATCAGCTGGATCAGTTGTACGACATTAGTTGCAGGCGACCAGCTCAGCGGTGTTGTGGAACGTGTTTGTGTGCATGTGCGTGTGCATGTGCATGTGCGTGTGCATGTGCGTGTGTGTGTGGTGGGGGGGGGTAGTGCGTAGTATTAGGTGAATGGATTGCCATGGTGCTAACTAGCTCACCAGCCAGCCCGCTGGAGAGGCAAGAGGCCGGCGGGGCTCACGTAAACACTGCGTGCGCGACGTGCGCAACACCCCTCGGGGCCGCACTGCTTCGGCGGTTGGTCGTTCCCGTTGGGGTTTTTAGGGTTAGGTGCCCCTGGCCAGCGTCATATTCCCGGATCGATATGTGACAGATACACAGCTATATGCACACATACTCAAGAGACACGCATGCGTATGTATGTATGTGCATACGCACCGTGAGACGGCTTAGGACTCGGAACTAAATCGTCTTTTTATTTCTTACCTGTACGACGCAATCCGTACAGCCATACACGTACACGGAGTTCTTGGGTGCGTTGTTTTCCACCAGCAGGTCTTGCCGTCCGGAGAAGTTCTCCACAACCCACTTGGTGCCCTTGAGCTCTAATCTGTTACATGTAAATGTGTTTTTTGGACAAATAGAAATGAGGGGGATTATGCGCATCCTTAATATGTTTTTGGTGGAAGGTACGGGAAAGGACAAGCACCAACCACCCAACCAACCAATTAAAGCAAACCCAGGAAAATACTATTTATTAAAAAAATCATTAGTCAAGTCCAATTATACATTTAATGTTCATTAAAATGCGTGTCCACGAGTAAAGTTAACGACTTAACAACTAACGAGAAAACCTAACAATTAAGCGATGTCCGTTGAAGTCTCTCGTGAAAAATATGCGGGCCTTTGAGATTCAAATTCGTTCGAAATCCAAATCCAAAAGCTTCATATAATTCCAATTCCAAATCGTTAACTGGGTAGCGCTCGTATGTTTTGTCCGCGCGGGGGAGTTGGGGAACCGAAAAAAGCGAGGTGGTGACGCACAAAGGTAAACGATGTACACACAAAACGCGAGGTACGACAACCAAGGCAAAACCATTAAGCCGTACTTGGGGGGACCGGAGGGCGGTTGACCCTTCCTTCCAGCCACCGCCGCTGGCGCTGTGCCGCTGCCTGCTGCTGCTGCTGCTGCTGCTGTACACGCCGACGCCGACGCCGATGTCGCTGGCACCTTCCCCGTCTTGTCGGTGTTGTGTTTCGTTTTCATGTCCGCTGTGACCCTCCTCAGACCCGCGGTGACCCCCTCGCCCTGCAGAAAAAACACAAAGAGCACATACATACGTACATATGGATGTACACACGTACATTACCCAACGCCCTGCGCTGTAACGCCAACGCCTAATGATACGACACCCGCACGTGTATTGCAGAACTGTACGTGAATACCTGTGGAGACGATTGCTGTAAAATCATCCAATCTCCATGTATGTAAGTCAGGTTTGGCGTGCTTCTGCCTTACGTACGATTGCCGTACCTTCGACAGCTCCTTAAACAGCGCTGACATGTTGCCACCTTCTCCTCCTCCTGTATCCGCCGCCGCCGCCAGCTCCTCCGGACTCAATGGTTTCGGAGGTGGGCCCGGGGGAGGGGGTGGCGGGGCCCGTACGGCTGTACGGCAGAAGTGACGGCAAATAATTTTGGGGTAGAGACAAAAACGGGGAGTGAATGATATGATGATAATGCAGGAATGCAGACAAACGCAATTTCCACGTTCAAACCGGCAAGCGTGTGTGTGTGTGTGTGTGTGTGTGTGCGTGTCTGTCTTTCTGTCTGTCTGGTTTCATGAGTTGCGCCGCGAGGAGGAGCTGGCAAGGTCAGCCGCTGCCCGGGAGGTCCCCGGACACGGCCCCGTGCGGCAAAATGTGAACTGAACTGTGCAGGGGGGGGGGGGGACAACCGCACCGCCATATCGCCGCCACCACCGTCATCGCCACGAACACTGTTACCTAGACATACATACACACATACACAGTCCTCGAGGCCACTTCGCCTACCCGCGGCTTAGCTTTCCCCCAATACACACATACATACATACATACATACATACTCGCGGCCCACAGTGTAATCGATGTCATACATACATGCATACATACATACATATGGCATTCAAGCAAGGCAACCTTCCACCTCCCGCTCGCACCTGGCTTACTGGGCGCCGTCACCGCCGCCGTCACCGCCGCTGGGGCCGCTGCAGCGGGTGTCACTGCGCCGCCGCCGCCGCCGCCGCCGCGCATCGCCGTCGCCACTGGCACTCCGTTGGGATCGAACCGCAGACCCGTGGGACAATGCCGCACCACGAACTGCTCCAACTGCTGAATAAGCACCTGCAGAAGGGGGAAGTGAATACGCCATGCACACGATGCCATGATGCTGTACAACGACGGTAGTTGTTACGAGAGGGTACCGTACAAATCATTATGGCCATATAAATTACAACACAACCGAAAGGAAATTTCGATGCAGGGACCTTTCCAACACCCAACCCAATAGTGATACACGCCACACGAAGTTCGCCACACTGACACACGTTAACACGCAGGAGGGCTGTTATTTATAAAACCCTTCTTTGCCCCCTGGGGTAATTTTGTTACTGACCGACAAGTGGTTGCTGCATGTGACTGTTTTCTTTGGTAACCACCTTACAATATGTTTCTCTGGGGCCGGCGAGCCCCCCGACACCTCAATGGCGCCGTCACTCCCGACAGGATGTGTCTCAGCTGTGCAGTGCAGTGCAGTGCAGTAATACTCGGCCCGCTGGCCCGCTGGCTCTACTCTTTGTGAGTCTGGAGCCCACTGTAGCAACCACACGCACGCACCACCACACATATTACAACACTTAAAAAGGACAAGCCATCTGATCAACTTTCGTTCTACGTACAGCAACACGCTTTTGAGCCGAGCCGAGCGCAGCGAACCATCACACAGCTTCTTTTATCCAAAAGCTTTAAATCGTCCTCAGGCGGTGGTCACTCCCTAGGGGTCTGCGGCCCATTTTCCTGGCGACCACCCGGGTACACGGATACATAGATACATACATGGATACACGCCGACCCAAACCCAGCCCCACCCCACCTTCAACGCCCGCACCCACGCCACTTGGTTGTCGTCCTTCCCGCGGAACTCCATCAGCAGCTTGTTGGAATAGAACTCTGCGGACTGCCAGCTGTCGGCGACATGCTGCCGGGGGGGGCTGATGCCTGGAGCAGGAAGGAATGAAGAGGTGGGGTGGGGAGCGGGGGTTGGGGGGGTTTAGGGTGGGGGGTAGGGGTGTGTGGAAATGGGTTTTCTTGGGGAAGACCCGGGCGAGTAAGGGAATCGTGGCATGCAAGAAGAAGAGAATGAAAAAAGAGTCGACCGTACCGCCCCATATCATGGGGCACGTGGGGGTTTGCGGGGGGCTGGGTGGGGTGGGTGGAGGGTTTGAGGGGTGTGTACGGAAGAGGCACAGCAACCCCAGACGTGATCCTCGGCCCGCCATGGCACGAACGTTACCACATTTCCGGTAGGCAGCAGCAGCAGGAGGAGGGTGGGGGGGTGGGAGGGGGAGGGGAGTTATTACACATCTGCAAAACACTGGAGCACCAAGAGCTGCCAAGATGCTCATGTTTGCGGAGCGTCATGCCCAATGTCAGGAACCGGGGTGGGGTGGGGTTCGCGGGGGCCGGGGATTGTATTTACCCTCCCTTCTGACCCCCCCCCACACACACACTCCGAATTTTTCCCTCAGTCCGCCATCCCCCGCACCTTTTCTCTCCACACCCATACATCACCCCTATCTCCGCAAATCAAACCCTTGGTAGTGTGTATGATTTCAACTCCTTCACCAACACCGCCTCTTGCGTCTACCACCACCGACAATATACTATCAGCAGCACCACCGATGGTGTAGTACGGCCAACTGACCAATTATTCCATTTCTTCCAGGCTCAGACCCCCATTTATTCCCAAAAAAGTAATATATTACCAAAAAAAAACTGACCACCATCACCAACAGCTCCCGCTGCTCCCCCTCTTTCCCTGCCACCCACCCCGCCCCACCCCACCCTAACCCAACCCAAAAGGGGCCCCCAAAAGCCCCCCAGCCAGCCAGCCAGCTCACCGCACCCATGTCCAGTGTACGCCAGAAACCCAAGCGCCCCCACCGCCTCCGACAGAACTTTGAGGTGGTTGGGACACGTGACCCGGCCCTCCGCAGCCGCGGTGACGGCTCCCATGGCCTCAGCCACCGGGGCCAGCAGCCGCTGCAGCTCAGCAGCGTCATCCGGCTTCTGCAACCAACCGCCAACACAAATGCATATACACATATACATACACACATACATATACAGCCACACAGCCGCACACCGTCCTTTCGCTGTTGCGGCTCAGTTAACCTAAAAACGCATTGAGGTGGAGTCGGTTTGGTCGGTTGAACACACAGTTTGATTGTACGAACCAAGGAAACACCAGTACAACAACCCAGCAGCAGCGCCGAAGCAGCCGCTGAGGATAACGGTCCAGATCTGGATCTCTGAGCAAGAAGATCAACGCATGGCGCATCAACGGTAAAATTACGCGCTCATCTAATTGGCAAAACAGCGACGACACGACAACCCAGCTGCAGCAGCAGATGATGATGCAGCCATGCAGTCCAAAACCCTATCCGCCTCACCTTCGCAACCGCCGCCACCTCCAACACCCGCCCAGTGCCCTGTGGATGGGTGGATAGGTTTAGGTGGGTGGAGGGGGCCGCCCGCCAGAGGGGGGGGGGAGGAGAATCATGTGCAAGACCGTAAACGGACGATGGAATTCCAGCGGGTGCCGGGGAATGCCGGGGGTGTCCCGGGGGACGCTTTTCCTGCTCGCTCATTATGCCTTTTCCTGGACCCAATGTTCCCCTCTCTCCCTTCCCCACAGGTGGCCCCAAATGGACGAATGGACCCAAAAGGTTTGCAGATCCGTCCTCCTGCATTCCATATTCCATAGCCTTCCCCTTTTTCATGACCCCGTCACATTCCCAGGATCGCCGTCACCCCCATCATCCCCAATCGAGTATCGATTTCCTTCCACACCTAACATGCACGCAGACAAACATACACACATATGTGCAGCCACTTCGGTCTGTCCTCATATCGCGGATCAGGTAAAAAAAATACACAAAAGCACACCGACGAGATCCATTCGGCCCCTACCTCAAGAACATTCATTCACCCATGCTACGCTTTATTACCTGGAATGCCTCCTCAAAGCTCTGCATGCTCTGCTGCGCCTGCGAGTACGGCACACAATTTTCCACAGGTGTCGTACAACAGAGGTCGTCATGCAGAGTTCGCGTGAAGAAGGGGGTAGAGGCTAAAGACCAGCAGCCCCGCGAAAAAGGTTATAACGGGCGAATGTATTCTTAAGAAGGCATTGGCGGGCAAGGGGGCTGCGTAACAGCGACGACGCGACTGTCCGTGCCGATGTGGGATGGGAACTCATTTTTGGCCCTATGGATACAGACATGTAAATATGCCATATGGGGAAGGGGGAATGTGGGAGAGGTACGGGCGTATGGCCATTGGCATCGCCCCAGGTCGTCTGCTGCTTTTCGTTCGTATTGTTCGAACTTGATTTGCGTGCAATTCCCTTTTCTTCCCGCAGTCCCCGGCTAGCCACCGATTTCTCGGACCAGTTCAATGGCTTTTCATTTTGCCACTATGGTTTTCCGAACCCTGCGATGCAGCAGGCGAGGTGGGGCTTGTTCCCACGCAACCGCAACATGGAAATGCTTAGTATGGCCGGGGATCATGCTACGATGCTGCCATGTTGCAATTGTACTTCATGACTCTGGAGCTCTCACTTGAGGCGGGATGTACTGCACATGGGCTTTCAAAGGCGCAAAGTGCTCCGCCATGAGTTTGTCCCAATCTGTCACAGCAGACGACGTGCCGCCGGGCGATGGCGCCGTGGATTTTGCAAATCCTGGTGCATTTTTGCTGCCTTCCGAACCAGAACCAGGATAGGGCTCAACCTGCAGTTAAAAGGTGCGCGGCAACTGCCGTTGGACGGGGATCATGATGTGCTGCAGACATGTCTACATCTCACTTGGTAAAGATACTTCAATTGATACGTTTTCTTACGCAAAGACATGTACGCACTCACCCCAAGCGACTCGAGTCGTTCCACAGCCTTCTCAAGACGCGCTATAAGGGAAGCTTCCATAGTGCTGTCCCATATCCTTTTTAAAAAAAAGGGTCAATATTTTACATGTCAGTAACATCGTTGCTAGTAACGGATTCAAACCATTTACGTACGGCAAGCGTAATATTGTAAGAGGCAGTAGGACTTCTAGATGCGGAGCTTGGGTGTAGTATGCTAGGCGTCAAACGTTGAGAACTGTGACCCGATGCCTATGTATGCGAGCGTGGGAAAGCACGACAAAATTAGGAGTTCTGGACTCATGTACTGTAGACGCTGTCTACCAGAGCAGTCCCATCGTCATACCTTCGCATGTCTTTGACCAAAGCAACAGGTCACGCCAGGCGGCTGCTAAGCCGTTGCTCACTGAACATCTTTGCTATGGACTGGTAGGGCCCTCTAGGGCGCCCTACTTGCACAGGCTTATGATTCGTCCCTTATTAACAGCTAAGAGCTGTGTGGGGGCACTTCTGGCGGCACTCAATCTTATGAATCACAACGGGACTGTGCGGACCGTCGGTTTTCGCGTTCCTAGCTTATCAGCCCTTTCGATTATAAGCATCTCTCACTGTTCTGGTGCGAGGCCCCGGGCGCGAAGCGCCTTTCGGGGCGGCGAGGCCCCCGGAGTTCACTGCTGTCTGTCAGTCAGTCAGTCAGCTCAATTCATAGTTCAGCGTGGCATGCGAGTTCGTCATGAGACACGACGCTGACTGCATTTAAAAGCTACTACAAATTCTATCGATTCACCGAAGAAATTCATTCACTGTGCGCGAAGTAGCTTCCCGCGGGCCACACTGCTCGCGGCCTCGCACCGCTCAACTGAGAATTGCATCTATAAGCTTCTACATTCCTCCATCGACCACCAACGAATTAATTCACAAACATCTGTGCGGAAAAATAGCTTTCCGCGGCGTTGGCTTCCCAGACGCCAAAGGGCCCCGGCCTCAAAACGCATCCTCAACGCGCCATCGCGAGTCCCATACCAACCAGTAGTGCGCGAACCCAGCCCATTGCTAGTCGATCTGGAGAACATGACATTTTGAAGTGTTCGTGAGACAGAGTAAAAGGCAAGATGGAAAATGCTGGAGCAGTTGGCATGGATTACAGCCATGGGCCGCGGAATGCTATCTTCGCGCACAGATTTATGTGAATTAATTTCTTCGGTGAATCGATAGTGAATTGTAGCTACGAAATATAGTAGTTATTCAATCTAGTAGCTATCAAATGCAAACCTTAGTTAATTGCGGCATGCGAGTTCATCATGAGACACGCACGACGCTAACTGACTGACTGATTAACGGACGGACGGACAGGAGTGAACCCCGGTTCGGTTACCGGGTCATTATCTCGGAATGTTGGTTATCCTACCGAAGCTAACCGGCCGGTTACCGACCCTTTTATGCCATAGGGGTGCGGTGTGCGGTGCACGCTGCGGTGCACGCTGCATCTGCTCATGCTGCTTTGATTGCTGTGCGGCCGCGCGGTTTCCTCGCTCTTTCCTTGGACTTCCCTGGAACAGCTATTTATGGCTCAGCTCCGCAACTCCAGCCCTTATAATGCCGACTGCTCCAGCACTTCCCTCCTCGCCTTATGCTCCATCCCACCAGTGGTGGGCCACCACATCTCTTACATGTCCTAATAGGCTGGGTTCGCACGCTACCAGGAGGCTATAGATGCTCGGCAGCCGTTCTTGTGGAGATGGAGGCAGCGCGCAATGCACCGTTCATATGGATTTGCGTTGGGGCCTTCACAAGTTACCAGATTCATACATCACTCCAACGCTGCCGGCCGCCGCACCGGCCCCTGCAGCTATCCATAATAATGAGTGTAGGGTCCAAACACACATCGTGTTTGGACCATACGGTGTCGCGACACCGTTCCTCCGCTTGTAGCTCAGTGCCGTACAGCCTCCCCTGCGGAAGACTGCTTGGCAACTGGCTCAGACTGGCTGCACAGGGCTTCGAAGAAGCTGACTACCCTAGTTTCTACAACAACGTAAAAATCTAAATGGACGGAAAAGATGCATATTTTTGCTTTCGATAACACGCTGACTACAAAGTGGCGTGAGGGTGCAGCCTCACGTGGGTTGGCGCCTGCCCCGCTATAAATAGTGTTTACAGACGTATTCTTGCACAGGACCGCTCCCGTACATTTGACTGGTCGACCAGAAACGTTGGTTTGAAGAATATTATACACCGAATAGATTGTAACCCATGTAATGTACGGATGCCGATAAAACTCGCACGGAAACCAAGCGTTGTAACTATGTCAGGTAGGTCAGGGCTGGCACGTCTCGACACGTCCCTTTCTTAGCCAGTTCTCGCCTCAGGATAAATTCGAGCGAATAGCTCTATACTTGTAATTATCTCCAAGGCTTTGTAGTGAGATGCATCATGCAACATGCGGCGGCTTTTGGTTACCAAAACAGTATCAAATACTCATAAAAGATGCCGTGCACTTACATCTGCTGCCACCCATTCTGCTCGTGTTCGATCGGCGTCCTTGAACGTAAATAAAACACATGGAAATACCATCCGACTTGTGATTCTAAGGAAACATATCGAGTACCTTCAAATACTTGGCGACCAAGGAGAGCTCCTTCACAAGCACCAATTCAAGGCTCGAGGTGCTGCCAGTAGGTCTGGATGCCGGTAAAGAACATCTTGCAACGACAGATGCACAGACAGACGGACATACAGACAGACACGGACAGGCAGATTTGCACACAGTACGGCAGCATCAATCGAGGACCGTGTGCATTGTGTTCGGTTGTGGTAAATGGTCAATGGTCAACAGTTCCCGGCAGTTCTTATCAATCCGACTACTGGAGGTTGAGCTGCAGCATTGCGAGCCTGTCCTGCAGCGCCTGCACATCACACAGCAGCTGCTCGACCGCGTTCCAAAACACTGCCAGCACCCCACACTCCAGTCGGGACTGCTCTGCTTGGCCATTTAAAGACTGCTGCTGGGTATTGTGGCGCTAGTAAAGCCCTCAACGTTACGAACCACATCCTTGACAAATGCCATCGTATCAGCTAGCTCCGATGTAAAAGCAGGATCCCAACATGCCACTGACCTCCAGGAAGCCGGCTGCTGCTGCTGCTGCTGCTGCTCCGCCGGTCTCCCTTGGATTTTCTTTTGAGTGGGAGGAGTGGGACTTCAGAGAGCCTTTGCCCTAACTGAGTCTTGTGGAGGTGTTCAGGTGGGACTAGAGAGACCATCGTTTTTTTCACTGCAGCACCTCCCCGGACAGAGGCGCTGCTGAACGGCTGCGTCGTGTGTTAGCAGCCTGAGTCGGGGTGGGGAGCACACAAGACTAGCCCGCGACTTGTGCTGCGGGTGCCCCCGACCCTTCCGCGGTGTTTCGGCTTCGGCCCCCGGCTTTACCAGCCCACAGTGTAATCTATGCAAGCATATATGCATACATACCTGACGCAGGCGGCTGGCAGAGGTTAAGCGGAGTGTCCGGGTTCAAGTTTACCTGCCGACCTCCCGAAGTTTGAGAGAGATGATGAAATGGGAGGTGGCCCCCGGTCCTATGGACGATGTAGGACGTGATTATATTGATATGCGAGCTGACAAGGAGCTAAGTTGTGGCGCCGTTGATCCGCTAGATTTGGTTGGATGCTGATGGTGAGTTGCTGAACCCAATGAATACATTATAGAGTCGGATGGGTTGAAAGATTTAGGGTGCCCCTCTCGCAGGGAGCGCAGGGAACTGTCTTGGGAAAGGGGGCCGCTGGTGAACCTACACCACCCTGAAACAACATACATACATTGGTTAGGTTAGGCACTACTGGTAACGCGCAACCATTGCCCTCGGGAGATCCCGGGATCGAGACCATCAAGATCTCAAACCTTTCTGATGGCATAGATGGGCTGGAGTTGCGGAGTGTGGCGGACATTATTGCTGATGGTTGTGGGATTCGCGATGGTGAGCCAAAGCCATGGGCCGCGGACTTCCCACAGATATATGTGAATTATTCCTTCGGTAGTGCTTATAGGTGCAATTCTCAGTTAAGCGGTTCGAGGCCGCGAGCGGTGGGAGAAGTCAAAGCCATGGCCCGCGGGACGCTATATTCGCGCACAGTGCATGAATTCTTTCAATGAATCGATCGGGAATTTTAGTATTAGCTTTTAAATGCACTCCTCAGTTCAGTCTGGCATGCAAGTTCATCATGAGACGCAAGACGCTGACTGACTGCTGTCATCCCGGCACAAAAAGGGCTGGCTGGGAGTTGTGAAACGGAGCGTGGCATCTGCTACGGAATGCAAAGCCTCTCGTTGTGTGTGTGTGTGTGTGTGCGTGTAAACTCCAGGAAACAGCATAGCAGGGATGGCCCAAACAAATGAAGTACCGCGATGGCTAAGGGACCAATTCACACGCCATCAGTTGCGAAGAAACGGAGGACAGGCGGAAAACAAAACAAAAGCTGATAACCCCCGGAAAATTGAGCGCTAGTCAAGCGCTAATGAGCACTTTGGAACTGTCCAGTCCATCCGTACGTCCATCCATCCATCCATCCATCTATCCGCGCATCACAATGACAGATGAGCGGGGGTGGCTACCGGGGGTTGCAGCCACTAGCGGTCCTCGGCTGCCAAGTTCAAACGGCCCTGTGGGACGAGGAGGGTCAGGTGGGGTCTTAGGGTTGGGCGGTAATTCGTGTGTGTCGTATGTA